CAACCAGTAACGCTGAAGAAGCCGAAGTTGAACGGTTCTATGAAGACCTACAAGACTTTTTAGAACCAACACCCCAAAAAGATGTCCTTTTCATTATAGGGGTCTGGAATGCAATAGTAGGAAGTCAAGAAACACCTGGAGTAACAGGCAAATTTGGCCTTGGAGTACGGAATGAAGCAGGGCAAAGGCTGATAGAGTTTTGCCAAGAGAACGCACTGGTCATAGCAAACACCCTCTTCCAACAATACAAGAGAGGACTCTACACATGGACATTACCAGATGGCCAACACCGAAATCAGATTGATTATATTCTTTGCAGCCAAAGATGGAGAAGTTCTATACAGTCAGCAAAAACAAGACCTGGAGCTGACTGGCTCAGATCATGAATTTTAAGTTATCTTAAAACAAATGAAAAACAGAACATTCCATAAAAGAAGTGCTAAATCGCTTCAGATGTGTCCAACTCTTTGTGACCCCATGGACTGTAGCCTGCCAGGCTGCTCTGTCCATGGGATTCTCCAGGCAAGAATACTGGAGTGGGTTGCCATTTCCTTCTCCAATAATATAAGTAGAATTTAGATAAAAAAGGAACAAATTGAAACTATATAACTGAGAATACCCTAACTGAAATAAGAATTTGTTGACTAGACCTAGTAGTAAGGTGGACATGGCAGGATAGAATTGAAAACAGATCAACAGAAATTAGTCAATCTGAAAAAAAGAGAGAAAATAGACTTAAAAAAAGAAGTCAAACAAACCAGAGCCTCCGTGTTCTGTGGCACAATAACAAAAAATCTAATGTTCATCTTAATGGAATTCCATAATTGGATGGGACTGAAAGGTATTTGAAGAAATAATGTCTGAAAACCCCCCAAATTAGTGACAGACATATATTTACATATATAAGAAGTTGAATTTCAAACAGAATAAACCCAACGAAATCTACTGTAAGACACATCATAATTAAGTTTGTGAAAACTAAACACAAAAATTCTTAAAAACAGCCAAGGAGAAATGATATATTACCTACAAAGGAACCCCAATTTGAATAGCTTCACTCATAGCTCAGTTGGTAAACAATCCGCCTGCAATGCAGGAGACCCTGGTTCAATCCCTGGGTCGGGAAGATCCCCTGGAGGGGCTAGGCTACCTACCCCAGTTTTCTTGGGCTTCCCTGTGGCTCAGCTGGTAAAGAATCCCCCTGCAATGTGGAAGACCTGGGTTCGATCCTTGGGTTGGCAGATCCCCTGGAGAAAGGAAAGGCTATCCACTCCAGTATTCTGGCCTGGAGAATTCCATGGACTGTACAGTCCGTGGGGTCACAAAAAGTCGGACATGACTGAGCGACCTTCACTTTCAATTTGAATAGCAGTGAATCTCTCATTTGAAACCATGGAGGCAAGAGGGAAGCAGCACATTTTTCAAGTGCTGAAAGAAAAGAACTGTCAACCTTGAATCTAGTATCTGGTAAAACTATTCCTCAGGAATAAAAGGGAAATAAAGACATTCTCAGATGAAGGAAAAGAAGAGCATTTACTGCGAGCAGACCTATCTTCAGAGAATGGCTAAAAAACTCTTTAAATATAAAGAAATGATAACAGAAGAAGGCTAGGACCTTCAGAAAGGAAAGAACAATGTAACAGGTAACATTCGACCCAATAGCAGAATGCACAAACACTTCTTAAGGATCTGTGGAACATTCAACAAGATAACTGTCCCAGAGTTATAAAGTAAACTTGAACAAATTTGAAAGAATTGAGATCATATAGAGTATATTATCTGACAACGATGGAATCAAACTAGAAATCAGTAACAGAAATGCAGCAGTGAAATGTCTGAACACTTGGAAATAAAATAATTTACTTCTACATAACCTACAGGTCAAAGAGAAAGGAAGTAACAACAACAAAACATACATAATGAATTAAAATGAAAACATAGTGTATCCGCATTTGTGGGATACATCTAACAGTGCCAGGGGGAAAGTTATATCACTTCTAATACTTATATTAGAAAAGAAGAAAGCTCTCAAATCAATAATCTAAGGTCCCACCTCAATAAACTAGCAGTAAGAGCAAAATAAACCTAAAGCAACCAGAATAGACTAAAGAAGAAAAGTCATATAATTATATAAATCTATGCAGAAAAACCACTTGACAAAATTCCACATCTATTCATTCAAAAACTTTCAGTACTCTAGGAGAAGAGCAGAATTTCCTCAACTTCATATAGAGCATTTACCTAAAAATTCACAATTAACATACTTAATGGTAAACCTTGAATGCTTTTTTTTACTCTTGGGAAGATGAGAATGTCTGCTGTCACCACTCTTATTCGGTATAGTACTGGAAGTTATACTTTTCTTGCCTGTAATAAGGCAAGATAAAGAAATGAAAAACACACAAATTAGAAAAGAAGGAATATAACTAATTATTTATAGATGACACAACTATCTGTAGAAAATCCCAAGGAATCTACAGATTCCTAGAACTGAGTTTAGCAAGGTCATAGGATACAGAATCAACACATAAAAATCAATTATATTTTTACACACTGATAATGAGTAAGTGGAAACTGAAACAAGAGATGTAACACCATTTACAATTCTTCCAAAGGAAGTTAATATTCAGGTATATAACAAACATGTATAGGATCTGTATGATTAAAATTATAAAATGCTGATGAAATAAATCAAGGAAAATCTAAACATTTGGAGAGACATACTATGTTTATGGGCTTCCCTGATGGTAAAGAATCTGCCTGCAATGCAGGAGACCTGGGTTCGATCCCTGGGTTGGGAAGATCCCCTGGAGAACGGCATGCCAACCCACTCCAGTATTCTTGCCTGGAGAATCCCCATGAACAGAGGAGCCTGGTGGGCTACAGTCCATGGGGTCACGGAGTCAGACATGACTGCGTGACTAACACACACACACACACTCTGTTTATATACTGGAAAACTCAACATAGTAAGGATGTCAGCTGTCCCTAAATTGATCTAAGGTTTAATACAATTCTTATCAAAATCTCAGCAAGACTTCTTTGTGGACATGGATAAGCACGTTTTAAAATGTATAAGGAAAGGTAAAGACCCTACGATAGCCAAAATAATTTTGAAAAAGACGAGTAAAGTGAGAAGAGTCATTCTTCTTGATGTTAAGTCTTGTCATATAACTACAGTTATTGAACACTGGCACTGGAATAGGAATAGACATATAGATTAGTGGAACAGAATGGGCAATCTGGAAATAGATTGGTATAAATATGTTCAAATATTAAGAATTTTTGACAAAGGAGCAAAAGCAGAAAGATAGCCTTTCTACAAGTCGTGTTGGAGCAATCAGAAATCCATAGTCACCATGTCCCTCAATGAACCCAGACCCTGACCTTATGCTTTATACAAAATTAACCTCAAATAGATCATGAACTTAAATGCAAAAGATAAAACCATACAATGTCTAGAAAAATAAAACCAGGAGATAAATCTTTGGGACCTAAGACTTAGGGAAAGAATTGAGGCTTGACATCAAAAGCACAATATGTGAAAGGAAAAAACTGATAAATTTGACCTCATTGAAATTAAAACCCTTACTCTGCAAAGAACTCTATTAAGAGAATGAAAAGGCAAGGTACAGACTGGGAGAAAATATTTACAGTCACATACCTGACAAAAGACTCACAGCTAGAATGTAAAAAGAACTGGCTTCCCTGATGGTTCAGATAGTAAAGAATCTTTGTGCAATGCAAGGGACCCAGGTTTGATCCCTGGGTCAAGGAAGATCCCCTGGAGAAGGGAATGGTGACCTACCCCAGTATTCTTGCCTGGAGAATTCCATGGACAGAGGAGCCTGGCAGGTTATAGTCCATGGGGTCAGAAAGAGTCAGACACAGCTGAGTGACTAACACACACTCAAAACTCCACATGAAAAGACAAACTCTAATTTGAAAATGGGCAAAATAGGGACTTGCCTGGTGGTCCAGTGGTTAAGAGTCCACCTTCCAATGCTTCCAAAGCAGGTGACTTGGGTGCCAGTCCTGGCCTGTGCACTGAGATCCCGCTTCGGACACCTATGCCGGTGCACCCAAACCACTGAGCTCACAGGCCACAGTGAGAGATCTCACGTGCCGTAACTAAGACCCAAGGCAGCCAAAGAACAAGCAAAATAAAATTAAAAAATAATAAAAATAGAAAACGGGCAAGATATATGAGCCAAAGTTTTACTGAAGAGGATATCCAGATGGCAAAAAAAATAAAAGCATGTGAAAAGATGTTCAGTGTGATCAGCCATTAGGTAAATGCAAAGTAACATCACAATGCAGTATCATTACATACCTATCAGAAAGGGTGAGTGAAGTGAAAGTCGTTTAGTCGTGTCCGACTCTTTGTGATCCCATGGACTATACAGTCCATGGAATTCTCCAGACCAGAATACTGGAATGGGTAACCTTTTCCTTCTCCAGAGGATCTTCCCAACCCAGGGATTGAACCCAGGTCTCCCGCATTGCAGGTGGATTCTTTACCAGCTGAGCTACAGCTGGCAAAAAGGTGGCACAAAGGAGTGGTGTGGTGACAGAAGAGGTAAGTGTCTTTTTTGTGGTGTTGGTTACATGAAACTACACATTTTTCATGATACAACTGCATGGAGCTACACACACACACACATACACACACACCACACACGAATCGACCGTATTTATTACTGGTGAAATCCAATTAAACTTTATGGTTCATATCAATGTTAACTTCAGGCTTTTGACATTGTACCATAGCTATGCAAACCAACATATGAATGACTTGCTGACACCCTGAATCCAGGGATTCATTTTGGGGCAGAGAAGCTGAAGAAACAGAAGGGAGGGCTTACAAGAGTGAGACAGTGGGAAAGAAGCAGGAGAGGAGAGGAAGGGGGGATGGAGGTCTGGCAGCAGGCAGAAGGCGGCAGGCAGAGCCAGGTGAGCAAGCGAGGCTGGTGTATAGGCAGTGCTCCCGGGCTTCTCACCTGTATGAAGGCTCCCAGGATTTTCCGGGCTTCCTGGTAGAGCTTCTCCCCATCCCAGTGAGGGTTGAGTTTCTTTAGTTCTCTGGCCAGCCGGTTGTGCTCTCGGAGAAGGAGCATGTGGGAAGTGGCCAGCAGGATCTGCTCTGAGGCTCGGGAATCTCCTGAAAGCCCAGAAGGCAGGAAGGTGGGTTCACCCTGAGCAGCCCCTGAACCCAGTAACCTACACAAAGAAATACATGATGGTGCCCCAGCGGGAAGCTCTCTTAAGTCCCTCCTCGTTAATTGAAGCTGGAAAGAGATCTGAGTTGTGACTCATAGATTTGAATCCCAGATCTGCATACACACCTTTTAGTTCTGTCACTTTGGACAAGTTACTTAATGTTTCTAAGCCTCAGTCTTCATATCTGTGAAAATGGGGATAATAAAGTTGACCCCCCCCCCAACTAGACTGTTGTAAAGACTACAGATGACATTAAGAGGTAAAATTTTGCTAATTAAATCCAAATTGCCTTCTAAGACAGGACGTACAAGTGAGAGAGGGGCTTTCTATTGTTCTGAGCAACTCTGACGGTTTTAGGAATGCAAGTTTGAGGGTAGGAACCTGGGAAGGGTTAAATTATTCCATGTAATAAGGGAGAAGAATCTAGACATGGGGGCTGTCGGGAGGAGAGGGTCATGTAGATGTGAAAGACCAGGTGCCTTACAGGGGCTTCTCTTTGTGTCCTCTAATCTTCAGGAAAGTCTGTGAAATTCACAAATGCTTGGTCTTAGTGGATATTTTTATGGAAAACAGGAAGGGCTTGGTTTTGTGTCTGGACTGATGTGAGATGTGTGTGGACACAGAATCCAAGAGATCTAGCAAGAGACCCATGTCTGGGTGGGTTTCATCCTAGAAGACTGGATTTTTGGAAGAGATAAGATCTCTGGAAGCCAAAGGCAGAGAGGACCAGGAGGGCATGAGCCCCTAGAATGAGAATTGGAGAGCTTCAGTTTCACAGACTGCATGGAGTGGGGGCTCTGTGCCAAGATTATAAAAAGCCTTAAAAATATACATTCCTTTTGATTTATATAGAACTTCCTCCTCTAGGAAGTTATCTTAGTAAACTTATTGAAACTCAGCACAAGGATTCGTCAACAAGGATGCTCACGACCTTACAAACAGCAACAAAATCACAGAGAAGCTAAAATTGACTTAAACGTCTCCAAATAGAGTTGGCAAAATAAATTATGATAAACATATGCCATGGAATGCTAGGTAACCATTAAAGATCATGATGTAGAAGAAAAAATATTTAAAGATGTGATGGGTGAAGAGAAAACATTGGATTACAGAGCTGCACTCTAGTATGATCCCAATTGTGTAAAACAGTGTAGAACAAGAACTATGATAGGAAAAAAGCTGGAAAGATAGGCCTTAAAATGTCAAGGATGATTATCTGTGAGTAGTGGGATTTTGTGGATTTTCTTATTTTCCTTGTGCTTTTCTGGATTTCCATAATTTTTTTTTTACATACACTGAACACATGTTCTTAGACCCTGTATCTGTTTGGGCCCTTCTGCCATCCTGGACCAGTGTCTGCAGCAGTGGCGGCTTTCAACGTGTATTTTTCCAGAAGACAATGAGAAGCAGCAAGGGTCAGTCTTCCAGTGCTTGGAAGCCACCGAGCACCCTCGAGAAGCTTTTCCGGCCTCCCTCTGCTCCCAGTCCCCAGGATAATCCCTTTGTCCTTGGGCCCCTCTATCCCCAGCCTAGACTCACCCGGCAGGAAGCAGGGCACGCGGGCAGTGGTGTTGATGAACGCACAGGGGCTCGGCTTCTTGTTGACAAAGGGCAGGTAGGCCAGCCCGTGGTCCCGGGCTTCTTGGTGGACAGCCATGAGACCCAGCGGGCTGCTGAGGTTCCGGAGACGGCTGGCCAGGCTGGGCTCAGAGCTGTACACTAAGCTGGCATCCAAGAAGGAGGTCACAGCATTGATCTGTTCTCGGGCCAACGACTGGTAAGGTGGAGTGGGGCAGACAAACCCATTTCGGAAGAAAGGCATGCATTTCCCTTGAGTCTTCAACTTGGGATCATTTTTCGGGAACTGCAGAGAGATGGGGGTGGGTGACTGCAGAGGTGGTACAGCTGGCAGCCTCTCCCCAGGGCAGGTCTGGATGCATCTGGCCAGGATGCTGATGGTGCCCTCCTGGGACCCTAGTGCCAGACACTGGCTCCAGAGGCCTCGTGCTGACGCTACATCCTGGGCCCCCAGGACCCTGAAGTTCACTACCTCCTGCTGTGTAAAAGGGCCAAGAGGAATCATTCCGCCTTTTACAGCCAAAGCCTCACATTTTCGGTTGTAAGGGAGTCCTGGGACCCCGGCACAGGGAAGCAGGACATGAGGCAGGAAGGAGTTTGTTAATAATTACTACTAACAACAGCTACCATTTATTTCTTTTGGACCTACCATGTGCTTGGTATCGTGCATACTTTATCTCACTTTACCTCATAAAACCCTGTAAGGTAGGTAATTCTGTATCAGTTTACATGCTAGAAAACTGAGGCTCCAAAAGGTTAAGTGATTTGCCCAAGACCTTACAAACTGAAAGGGAAAGAGGTGGGACTCAGATCTAGGTTGACCGTACTCCACAGCTTATGTTCTTCATGTGCTGTGCTGTGCTAAGTCGCTTCAGTTGTGTTCGACTCTTTTCGACCCTATGGACAGTAGCCTTCAGGTTTCTCTGTTCTCCAGGTAAGAAAACTGGAGTGGGTTGCCATGCCCTTCTCCAGGGGATCTTCCCAATCCAGGGAGCGAATCCATGTCTCTTATGTCTTCTGCATTGGCAGGTGGGTTCTTTACCACTAGTGCCACCTGGGAAGCCCATGTTCTTTATACCACAACACATATTCTTGATATGCTTGAGTGAATAAATCACGCTCTCACTGTAAAACCCACGAATAAGAAGAAAGGTGCGCTACTGCAAATTCCTTTCCCTTCCTGCTGGACATTCCCATAAGTCCCTGCTGCTCGCTCTGACTCATCCATCACGTTTCAGCTCTTTCTGGGAGAAGCCTCCCTGGACTCCATGATGACTCATGGCGGCATTCCACAAATTTACTGGGTATACAATGACTCTCCTGGGGATCTGGACAAAATGTAGATTCTGCTTCCCAATGTTTGGGGTGCGGTTTGAGATTTTACATTTCTAATAAGACCCCAGGTGACATCAGGGCCGCTGGGCCAGGGATGAAGAAAACCCTCCCCAGAGCTTCCCAGTTTTGCCACTAGTGATAACTTATCCATTTCCCACACAGGTCTTCTGCCCTTGAGGGAAGGGATGCTGTCTCGTTCACCATTGAATCTCAAGTGCTTAGTTGTTGCCTGATGATGGCAGATGATGGATGTCTATTTACAAAATAAGAACGTAAGATGTCTATTTACAAAATGAATGAATAGAACGAGTGAGGCTTGGGAAGCTTTCAGATCAGCATTCAAGATCTCCAGCAGGTCCTGGCTGATAGGCTGGGAACACCTGCTACACCAGGGAGGCAAGCAGTTTGCCAGGGGCCTGCCACTGCAGGGGCCTACCATGATGGGGAAGCAGTTGTCTCCCTGGATACAGTGCTCCTCACAATGGGCTTTGGAGTGCTCACTGCTCCCCAGTTCTGTTTCTGGGGCGAAGTCCAGGTCGTGGTCCACAATTTGACCCCACTGCATGAAGAGCAGGGACCTGTCTTCGTCCAGAACACCCTCTTCGTCCAGGTAGCCTACAATTTTGTTGGATACCTCACGGGCCTACAGATGGAGACAGAAGGAGAGGGAAGAAAAGGTGCTTTGAAGAGTCAGACTGAATGCAGTTTATTCAGTACCCACGACGTAACAGGTACACTTCATCTTCAGGACAAGCTCTGAAGTGAGTGGCATTACTCCCATTCTGAGTCCAAGAGGGGTGAGAGCAACTCACCCATGTCCTACAGCTACAAAGGGCCAGGTCTGTATGACCTGATGGTTTCAAGGCCAATGCCCTTTCCACTCAAAGAGGGAAAAAAAGGCAGGCTGTCCCTTAAGTACATGCCACGGAGGAGGTGCCAGGTGTCTGGAAACAGGAACAGAGGGGCTCTGGGGAGGGCCTGCCAACTCAGATAAGGCCAATAGATGGGACCTGCAGGCAAACAACAGCTGATGCACTCCAGGGGCTGCGGCAGGACAAGCGCCAACAGGATGGTGCAGGGAGCCCATCTGCCTGGGAGACCCCGGGGTACTTGGCTTGATGGCTGCTGGGCCATGACCACCACGTGGCTGGGCTCCAGACGCGGGATCTGCAGCCCTCTAGTGGCATTTCCCGGAACACCACGAAGGAGCGAGTCCCCATCTCCGTGTCTCCCCGGGCGTGGCTCTGCCACGCGCGTCTGTCTATCCTCGCGCCCGTGTCTGCGTCCTCTCCTCGGGTACTTAGGGGAGCGCCTCCCTTCCCCTCTGACTCCATCACCCCGCGGCAGCCACCAGCGGGACGCGGAAGCCGTTGCGCGTCTTCCTCTGCGTCCAGCCGAAGGGCAGGGCGAACCCGTCCTCGTACTCCGCCGGCAGCCAGCGCGCCAGCGCCCTGTTGGCGGCGCCCAGCGCGGGGCTCCTCCTGAAATGGCAAGGCTGGCCCTCAGCCTCGGCCGGCCAGCTCCCGGGTCTGCTTCTCCGCACACCCCAGGGGATTCCCCCGGGGAAGGACGGGAGCCCCTGCCCCAGGGAGAAGGGATGTGGAAGAGGTGCCTCTGAAGTGTGCGGTGGTCTGGACCACTCCCATCCCCGAAGGCTCGGGGCTCCTCCACCCCAGGGAAAGGCGCTCCTTCCGGCCGGATAGACGGTGGTCTCTTTAGACAAGCTGGGAGTGTGAGGCAGGTGGGTTCCAACAGAATGGCTTCCAGCGGGCTGGCCCGGGAGGGTGAGGCCATGGGAGTCCTGCCTCTCGTGCTCAAGGGGCCAAGCCCCTGGCTGAGCCGCGCGGGGCAGGTGGGCCAACCTGCACACTACACACCCCCACGGCCGCTCACCTGTTATTACAGTCTCCCGTGATGGTGCGATAAGGGCTGTTTTCATCACATTTCACCAGAGGAACGGGGGCTCCGCAGCCCACCTCCCAGGAGAGTGCAGTCAAGTCCAGGCTAGGGTCTGAAAGAGAAGAGACGCCAGAGGGCAAAGTGGTGTCAGAAAACCCTCTATCCCTCCTGTGCCTGGGTTCTTCCTCCATTCCGTGGCCCCGAGGGGAGGTTCATCTTCTGAACTTGATTTTTGGGAGAATACATTTTACATTCTAAGCGAGCATTTCTCAGGGGGTTTCACCCTTCATCCTGACACCTCATTAAAGTAAAACTTTTAATTCTCATTTTACAGAGAAGAAACTGGGACCACAGGGTTCCCAAGACTTGCCCAAGGCAGCACAGATTAGTAATAGCTCCAGTGAAAGTGAAAGTGAAGTCACTCAGTCCTGTCCGACTCTTTGACCCAGAGGACTGTAGCCTACCAGGCTCCTCCATCCATGGGATATTCCAGGCAAGAGTACTGGAGTGGGTTGCCATTTCCTTCTCCAAGAACTGTTAGTAATTCTTGGTCTATCAGATCATTTGAATCAATGGAGTTTTCTTTTAGAATGAAAGTACCCCCTGAGAGGTTAGGTGCATGTTAGTATGAGTTTGTTTGATAAGATTGCTTTTCTAGAAGCTCCACTGATGGGTATGTCACTGGTGGTCCAGTGGTTTAGACCCCACACTTCCACCGTAGGGGGTTAGAGTTCAACCCCTGGTTGGGAAACTAAGATCCCAGATGCCACATGGCATTGCAAAAAAAAAACAAAAAAAAGGTAAAAAAGTTCCACTGACCTCTAAACTACTAAGCACACAGGAATCTAAATGGGAAAGATATTGGGAAGGGACAGGCCAGTTTTAAGTGAGGAGCACTGTGGTCTTGGGAGGTGTAACATAGTGGGGAGTTTTAGGCATCAGATGGCTTCTTGAGGGCACAGAAGAGAGAGCTGCCCAAGTCCTAGAGTAGCCGGTACTCCATCCTGGTACCTGCACGGAAAAGGCGTCAGGGGGATCCAGCCCTGGGGGGCTTCTTCAGGGGGCTCATCTGCAGAAATGGGCAGGGGCCAAGGTTCAAGCCCAGCACCTTTTGAGTCTCATCAAGTTCAAGGCACTCCCTCCTCCTCCCTACCTTGTCCTGGCCCCCTTCCTTCTTTGGGAACTTTGGAATTTGCCCATGTCCTAGGCCAGGGATCTTCCCCCACTTGAAGTTTTCCCAGCAAGAACCTGCAGTCTCTTCCTCCTGTCAAGATCCATCCCCTTCCTCCATGAGCGTCCATGAACTGTGACATTTGGCAGGGCGTGGGGAGGAGGGGTTGAGGAGTGCATGATCAATTGGCAAGCTCATTGTTTCAGCTCCACAGTACCCAGAACGAGAGGGACAGTTCCTCACCCCCGACATAATCCCAGTAAATCTCCCCTGACACAGGTGGCTTAACTGTCCCTTTGACAGGTGGAAGTGGTGGCACTGTGGTTTGAGACAGGGAGCCCGTGTTTATTGACTTTAGTCCTTCCTCTGGACAGAGGCCTTGCAGCCGGTATTATGCCAGAGGGCACGAGTGTCCCCTCCTTTGGAGGCGGCAGTGTGACCGTGCTGGGCCCGAGCTCCTTTCTCTGCCGAAAGGGCGCTGACCTGGCTGCCCTCCCGGCCCCTCCTTGCTCTGAGGAAGAGAGAGGAGAGGGCTCCCAACAGGAGCCGCAGCCTGATGGCTTCCGCTCTTTCCCGCGGGGAGACGAGCCCTTCCTGCCGTTGGGGGCGCGCGGGTCTCCGTACCTGTGGCGTTGGTCAGCGCCGTGTCCCGCCTCAGCCTCTTCAAGGACTCCTCCCACACCTGCCCGTTGCGAATGGCCGTGCGGGTCCGGCCCCTGGCGTGCTTGAAGTACTCGGAGAGCTGTCGGGTGGTGGCTGCCTCAGAGCTCAAGGTCGTCTTCAGACTGCAGTGGAGAGCAATGGGCAGCCATGGGGGTGTGGGCAGCAAGCAGGAGACCCCGCGTCTGTGCTCTCAGGATCTTTCCTCCGCTCTCCCCGGATGCCTCTGGAAAACCTCCTCTGGGAGGCGGAAGCTGCAGTGTGTCCTTAAGCTTGGTGAAGTCTGGCTCTGAGGGAAGGCAGGCAGGTGGACCCGAGCGCTTCCTGAATTAGCATCAGAGGGTTGCCGCTGTAATGGCGGCTTCCCCGCTCAGCTGGGGAAAGTGAAATACGCCTAAGTCCCCGGATGTACCGATTCGCACTGAGGAGCCCCTGACGGTGGAACCCCCGCTCACTGCGCCTTGGGGACAACCAACTGCTGCCAATACTGGCGTGAACCAGATGCTGGAGACATCTGATACAGATTTTAAAATGATTTAAAATCCGCTGTCTTTAAAATGGTTCAATAATCAATTTTAAGTTTTTCTTAAATGAAGAAAAACAAACAAAAAACCCCACAGAACATTCCATAAAAGTAGGATTTATTATGTATGGCTGAGTCCCTTCGCGGTTCATCTGAAACGACCACAACATGGCTAATTGGGTATACCCCAGTATAAAACACAAAATTTAAAGTTTGAAAACAAGAGTAGAATTTATTAAAAACAGAAAACAAGTTGAAATTATAGAACTGAAAATACCCTAAGTGAAATAAAAAGCTTGTGGTCTAGACCCAGCAGTCAGGTAGACATAGGAACACAAAATTAAAGACAGGTTAATAGAATGTAGTCATTCTGGAAAACCAGAGAGGAAATAGACTTCTACTACTAAGCAAGGTGAGGTGGGTGAAATCCTGCATGAGAACCCTCTCCCCACTCCTGTGTGAGATGCGGGGTCCTGTGAGATGATCTTTACGGCCTTAAGACTCTGAAATTTTGGAAGTGGTTCAAACTCTCAGAAAGACAACCTTGCTTTTGGGATATACTTCACAGGCTGTAACTCCTGGCCTGTTCGTGTGGATCAAGTTGTTAACTCTATTTCTAGCATGCAGGGGCCTGGTGTCTCAGCCTGAGAGGTGACATGGACAAGCAGGCTGGTCGTGCAGGAACTCTTTTTCCATCTCCAGGCCTCCGCCCTGATCCTAGTCATCATCCTCCCCCATCTGGATGGTCACAGCAGACTACTGCCTCCCCCCGTGTCCTCCTCCCATCCATTCTCCTCCTGGCTGCAGGAGGGAGCTTTTTCAAATGAAAAGCAGACCAGGCTGCTCTGATTTAAGTTCTTTCTTGGCTCACACTGCGGCCCTGTGGCATACATGAATCCATTATAACGTACATGCTCATGGTATTATGCAAGCTTTGCCTCAGTCTAGCTCCCAAACATATTCATCATCTGCAAAGGAGACCCCACACCCATGAACTGTCATGCCTGATCCCTCCCCTTATCCCCCAGCCCCTTGCACCTGCTACTCTGCCTCTGACTCTCTGACTCTCAGGCTCCGCCTGTGTGTCCTTTTTTCCTACCGCTGCAACCAGCATGGCCTTCTTTCTGTGCCTGAGCACCTGAAGCTCTTTCCTGCCTCAGAAACTTTGCCTTCATCGCTCCCAGCCCCTGTAATGCTAGGTCCTGGCTTGCTGCGTGGCTGGTTCCTTCTCATCGTCCATCAGGCTTCCCTGCTTCCTGAAACTAGAGTAGTAACCACTGCTCTGTTTATTTCCTTCATCGTCCTCATCACAGTTTGTGGGTCGCTGGATTGTTTGTTTTCTTGTGAACAAAATGTTTAAATGTGATTATGTTTCCACGAGGTCCCTGAATCCAGGAACTAACCAGTGGGGATGAGTTCCAAGGCAGGGCTGGTCATCCTGGGCAGCATGACTCAAAAAGGAGGTGCTGAACATGGATTTTGTGGCTTTTAGTCTATCCTCACCTTGGGCTATAAAAGGGTTGACTTTAGGAGGGAGCGAGAAGGTTCACTGGGAGACAGTGGCTGAAATACCGGATATTTCCCTCCCACCACTGTGGGGCTTCGTCTTTGCTCTCAGTCCCGTGACAGGGTCCTTACGAGGAGGACAGGTGCTTGCTTTGGCAGCACATATCTTAAAATTGGAACTATACAGAAAGGATTAGTATGGCCCCTGCACAAGGATGACAGGCAAATTTGTGAAAGGTTCCATAGTTTTACCTAGAGACAGATTTTTACCTTTGTCATACAGAGTGAAGTAGGTCAGAGAGAGGAAAAACAAATATTGTATAATATCACTTACATGTGGAATCTAGAAAAATGGTACAGATGAGCTTATTGGCAAAGCAGAAACAGAGTCAGAGATGTAGAGAACAAACTTCTGGATACCAAGGGGGAGGATGTTACGAATTGGGAGATTGGGACTGACGTATATACACTCTGACGTATAAAATAGGTAACTAATGAGAGCTGAGTGTGTAGCACAGGGAACTCTATTCAATGACCTGTGGTGAGCTAATTGGGAAGGAAATCCAGAAAGGAGTGGATACATGATACATATAGCTGGTTCACTGTACAGAAAGTAACACAACATTGTAAAGCAACTATACGCCAATAAAAGTTAATTTAAAAAAAAAGTGAAAAAGAGGAGGGTGCCACTGTGTGTCCTGGAGTTGTGGCTGGTTGTTGACACCTGCCCAAAGAGCCTAAAGAAAACAAGAAAAGAGGAGGTGGCTGGCACCGCACACCTAACAGCAGAGTAAGCCAGACAGGCTGGCGCTGGGCCCTGAATCCACACATCCTCCAGCGGCAGGGCAAAGCTTTTAGTCCCCTGCGCATACCTGTGTGTGCATGCTCAGTCGTGTCTGACTCTTTGTGACCCATGGGCTGTAGCCCACCAGGCTCTTTTGTGTTTGTTTTTTGGTCGATGGGATTCTCCAGGCAGGAATACTGGAGTGGGTTACCATTTGCTTCTTCAGGGCATCTTCCTGACCGAGGGATGGAACCAGCGTCTCCTGCATTGGCAGGTAGATTCTTTACAACTGAGCCACCTGGGAAGCCCCTCTCTGTACAGTGGTCCCAAATCAAATCCCAAAGACAGTTTTGGGTGGAGTAGAAAAGGATAACTTTATTGCTTTGCCAGGCAAAGGGAGACACACCAGGGTCCTGCCTCGAAAAACTGTGTTTAGTCTTCTGGAGCCTCTTTAAAGAGGACCTGGGTCAAGATGACATGAGGAGGGATGAGGCTGGGAGTCACAAGCTCCCGGGCTGAGGTTCGGAGCTGTGAGCTACTGGTCAGATACTTCCCTGGGTCAGAGACTTGGCAGCAATGTGTGTGAGAGCCGAAAGTGCCCTAGGAGGGAAGGACCTCTGATCCCCCCACCCCAGCCCCAGGCACTACATTATCCAAGTGATTTAGGCTTTGTCATCCTGTATCTCTCCTACCTCCCCTCAGCTTAACCCCTAAAAATCAGAAACCTGCTTGGGGGATGGCAAGAAGCCCAGGAAAGAGGGACGACAGACCATGGACCCTTCCTTCTCTCTGAAGCCTAGAACAGCTCTGAGCAGAGGAAAGTGAGAGGCTCGGGGCTTCATCTTCTTGTGCTGATACTCGAGTTCCTGAAAGGATGCTGTTCTTGGGACTAGAAGAGATCAGAGCACATCTTGTCCTCTAAAAGTCAGCCAAAAAGTTGTGGGACCTCTTGAGAGTTTATGCAAGGGCCAAGGGGTAGTGAAACCCCAAGTTCAGTAAAGAGACAGCGAGAGGAATGAGCAAGGTGGTTTTCAGCTCCGTGAAGTGGTTACTCTGGTTTGTCTGCCTCTCTGGCTCCAGCATGTGCTTCCTGAGGGCAGGGACGCAGGCTGCACTGCTAATTTCAGGAAGCCCAGCCCCTCCACGGGGTTGGGAGGTAGCTGACTCTGCTGGTGTCCTGTATGACCCCCGAGTGCCTTTGGGCCCCTCCCCTGGCTGCTGCGGGTGCAGCTGCTGATGGCTCATAACTTTCTTGGGCAATAGCTCTGAGTCCGGGGAGCTGGGTGTCCAGAATGCCTGGGAGTCACACAGTGTGCTACACCCTCTACCCCTCCCGCCCCCCGGCCCCAGCCCCAGTACCAAGCTTGCAGCACATCTGCCTGAGTCAAGGACACCTCTGGCAGGGGAACGCTCTGCTCCCTTGCTCGAGGTAGGACAGGCTCTGAGATACAGCCCACACTCTGGATCTCCCTGGGGGGTCAGCTGGGGCTGGACTTTAAACCGCATCCCTGCTTATCGGCCTTCCTTTTACCCATCTGGCCTCACTCCTTCACTCCGCTGGAGCTTCCTGAGAGTGCTCCCTGGTAAGTCACCTGTATGTGAATGCAGCTCTTAGCTTCTGTTTCTAAGGGCTTGCTCTAAGTCATGCTGAACGAACAAAAAACTACTGACCGGTTTTCTGAGACTCTGGAAGGCATGACCCAAGGAATCACTCAACTACAGGAAAGAAAGTGCTCATGGGATCAGATGAGACATCCCCTTCGAGGAAACTTCGAGGCTAAGGATTTTAGGAGCTGTGGGCTCTTACTCCTGCTTGCCCCCTGCTTCTCCCCATTGTGAGTCAGGGCTGAGGGGCTGGAGGATACTTCATCTCTTCTAAACGTGGGGAACAAAAGCATAGCCAGACAGAGCTTGGACCAGGCTTTCCCAGGGTCTGGCGGGTAACTCTGGGCAAGGACTCCAGCTGAGTCAGTTTCCTCAGCTGTAATATAGCTGTAAAACCCACTCCAGATTTCTGTTGTGACTAAAGTCCTTGATATAAACATCCATATAGGATGTGATATATTAGCACTTATTTTCCCTGGTGGCCTAGATGGTAAAGAATCCACCTGCAATGCAGGAGACCCAGGTTTGATCTCTGGCTCGGGGAAGATATTAGTACTAGCCATTATAGTACTGTTTTTTCTGAAAGAATTCATGTCAAAGTAACTTCAAGAGCAATACAGCTTCAAGTAGCTCTATGTATTGACCTATTTCACATTTAACAATTTATCAATTTTCTATTCATATGTCAATATCACAATCTATCATCTATCCATCTATCAGCATCTATTTATCAATTTTTCTTCCATTGCTCATTCCATCTGTCCAATTCTCTATTTATCATCCATCACCTAGCAACCAATCCTTGCATCTATCAACCAGTTCTATTATCTAATTATACATTATCTGTATAAACCAATCTATTATTTATCTCTCTGGAGAAGCTGGTGGGGTCTGAGTCAGTCAATCTGGTCTGTTCCCCTTTCTTTCCTCCTGGAATCCTGGAAAGGGGAGGGGAGGGTGGGAGAGGAGGAGAGGCTGTGCTAACTCCAGCGGGTGCAACCTGTCGCCCCCTGAGTCCTGGGTTGGCTCTGACATGTGTGGGCTCAGTGCAACACACTGATTGCTCTCCCCACCAGGTCCAGGCTGTCTCCCACCAGGTCATGCGCTTCTGCAGCGAGAGGCTGACCTCAAACCTCGGCCGGTCCCTTAAGTTCATGCAGTGGGGCCAGTTCATTGACTATGCCTTGGACTTCACCCTGAGTCCACAGCCAGAGTGGCCTTCACTGAGGGTGTTGACTGTGAGAGGACCTGTGCCCACCTGCACCCCTGCTTCCTCATCAAGGTACGTACTGCGGTCTCCCAGGCTCCATCCCCGGCCAAGAGCAGGGGCTCAGAATGGGAAAGCTTACAGTACCTGCCTTAGGGAGCTGCCTGAGATGCTGGAGTATCAGACAGTGAGAAGATGCAGTCTGACACAGACACCTAGCTCAGTCTGTGTTTGAGGGGTGAGGGTGGGGCAACCAGCCTGGAGGTTTGGTGCAGGCTTCACAAACGGGGAAGCAATTGACACTGGCCTTGACCTGTGGATCCCATTCCAACAGAGGAAGCCTGTGGGCTGATGCTTTAGGAAGCCTTTAGAGTCTCTTAGTTTTTGTCCTTCCCTCCCTCTGGGGTGGGCCGATGCCCCTGTAGTTCCTACCAATTCCTAGGGTCAGGTTGGGAAGACAGTGCTTTGGTTCATGCTGAGAGCAAGGATGCTGTGAGAAATTAGGACGAAAAGATGGACTCCAGGGAACAGAGCCTCTGCTGGGCATGGAGCCACCACTACACACACACACTGTTACTGCTCTTGCAGTGTGTCATGTGAGGGCCCATGTCTGGCGTCATGTGAGTCATGTGCTGGCTCCTTCCTCCGCCGTCTCTGGGGAGCCATCCCCTATCTTCCTAGTATACCATTAGTGGCTCCACTGGTGGCTCAGATGGTAAGGAATCTGCCTGCAACGCAGGAGACCTGGGTTCAATCCTTGGATCAGGATGATCCCCTGGAGAAAGGCATGGCAACCCACTCCAGTATTCTTGCCTAGAGAATCCCATGGACAGAGGAGCCTGGCAGGCTATAGACTATGGGATCGGAAAGAGTCAGACACGACTGAGGACTAGCACTTCTGACTGGTAAATCTAACACAGCGAACGCCACCTTAACTTAGAGTTACATTACTCTATGTGCAGGTCTGTGTTCAAGGAACTGCCAGCTTCCTGCAGCCTGTCTGGAGTTTTCTTGATCCTCACGATCTCCAAGGCGCCCAGCACAGAAAGGGGCTGATGTCTGCCGAACTGAGTGGAATGGAAGCAGCACAAGCCTTCATGTCAGAGAACTAGTTTCTACTCCCTCCTCTCCCACTGAGGAGTTGTCCTTCCTCTCTCTGAGCCTCAGTTTCCCTGTCTGTAACATGAGGCTCTAAGGCCTCATCCATGTCCAACCTTTCATGACTCTACAGCACCAAGTGCTAAGGATGCTCAGATAACCTGATGAGCAGCCTGAGTCTGGATGAGTCAAGGAAGATTTCCTGCAAGAAGGGAGTTTTTGCTTTTGTTTTTTAATTGGAGTACAGCTGCTTTGCATGTTGTGTATGTTTCTGCTGTAAAACAACTTGAATCAGCTGTATGTAAACATATGCCCCTTCCCTTCTGAGCCCTCATCCCACTCCTGTAGCTATCACAGAGGCTGGAGCTGAGCGCCTGTGCTTTACATACAGCAGCTAAGAAGGGAGTTTTGAGCAAGGCTCTGAAGCACGTGGGGGATGACCTGGAGGAGTGAGCTTGCACAGGAAGGGCCCCGGTGTAAGTGACTCCTCTTCCACCTTGGACCCCACACAATGACCCACACATCACCAGTAAGCGAGACTGCATCTCCTTCTTCCACTTGGCACAAAAGCAAAAGCAAAGTCCGCAACCAGATCAATGGACTCACCTCGTTCATGGACGCCAGCATGTTGTACGGCAGTGCGGTTGCCCTCGCCATGGACCTCTGCAACCAGACCAACATCCTGGGGCTTCTCTCCCTCAGCACCTGCTTCCAGGACAATGGCCAGGCCCTGCTGCCCTTTGACAACCTGCATGATGACCCTGCCTCCTCGCCGACTGCTCGGCATGCATCCGTTGCTTCCTGGCAGGTCAGACTCGGGGATGGACAGTCTTGTCTCCCTAGGAAAAAGCCAGTCCCAGGTTCCAGGAGGGGAAGCCCAGAGGGTACTCCGTGGGGGGTCCATGGCTTCAGACCTCAATATTAGGCACAGAGATCTGTGCGTGGTTCCCAGAATCAGTATGTTGGAAGGAGTTCTTTAGCAAAACCGGTGTGTGTCCAGAGATCATCGCTTGACTTTCTCCACCGATAAGGGGCTCATTCCCTCCACAGTCCATCTGGAGCGGTGCTTATTGTATAAAAAGGCCCCCTCATTTTGGTCCAGCGTCCATCTGTTGCTCTTCACTGAACTTCTAGACCCTCAGAGAAGAAGCTCTCACTCTTTCACAGAGTAATAGCCTTTTTAAATACCTGAAAGTAGCTTTCACTTAACACCTCATAATTTTTCTTCTGTAGGCCCAATTTCCTTAGAAGTCAGTTTCCTCCCTGGACTATCCAGACACTGGCACTTGGTACCTTCTGCCAGATGCATAATCCGAAATTTCCTGGGGGTCTTTCCCCACTGCCCCGCTCTCTATCATCACGATGACCATCATGTCTGGTTATTTAAGGTATTTGAATGTGCCATCTCTCATCCTTATAGCCTATCATCACCCTCGTTTTGCAGACAAGAAGCTCAGCGAAGATAACTAACGCACTCCAGAGCAGAGTGTCAGATGGCAGAGTCCACATGGGGACTGGAGTCAGTGTAGTGGCCAGGTCTGGGCTCTTTCCACTCTGCTCCACCACCTCTTTCGTAGAGAGTTGGCTCCAGCCCCCTTTCTAAGGACTGTATGTTTCTTTGTTCCTGTTAAGAGCAGCAGGCTCCTTGGTCTGCTGAAGAGTAGATTAAATAAGACCACACACAAGGGCTTAAATCAAAACCAGCAAATGACCATGTGTAAGGCCACCTTCAGGATGGCACTTTCCTTCCCGGCCTCGAGGAGAAGGTCTGGCTACAGAAACAGGCTCTGCCTGACTCTCTTTCTTTCTCCTTCCTTGGGGCTCCCTGGGGAGAGCACCATGATACCAAGACCAATGCTAAGGAGAGGTCCAGCCCCCAGGAGAGACCCTGCAGAGGGATGCAACTCACCAGACAGGTGGACTCAGTCTCAAAGGCAAGGCATCTAGAATCACCCAGGACACCCACCAGCCAAGGCTCTGGCCATCCTGCCAAGCAGAATCATCAGGCAAAGGTTTTCCTGCCCCAAACCAGCAGCTGCCCCATGCTTGCCCACTTTATACAAATCCCTTCTAGGAACTTAGGGACCTGAGACTTAGGGACCGCTGTCATACCCCTCCTGGCCTGTTGTGTGGGTCAGAGGTGCCTCGCAGCACAACTGAGGAGATGGAGGTCCAGAGAGGGCCAATAATTTGGCCCAGGTCACTAAGTCTCACCGCCTCTTTCTAGTCCCCAGAGCTTTCTTAGCAGAAAGACGATTCTCTGGGAAGGGCTGTAGTGGCTCTGAACTTGGGGTTTTCACCCAGTCAAGTGAAACCCGAAAGCTGGCAGTCATGCACACCCGGCGGGTGACTGAGCTGAGATACCTGAATCACTGGTGAACTGGAGACAAGCTATACCAGGAAGCTCGAAGATCGTGGGGGCCATGGTCCAGGTAGGGGGCCCTGGACCCAGCATCCCTTAGGAGCCATGAGGAGGCACAAACCAGATAGATGTGCCTCAAGTCAACTAGGTCTGGGTGATTGCAGGTGTTCCTGATCTACGACCTGTACCCTCAACTCTGCCACTAACTCGCTCTGTGACCCTGTTCATGTCACCCAACCCCTCTGGGCATCAGTATCCCTCATCAGACAATGGGAAATTAATGCCGTCACAATTAACATAATGCCAAGAAAGAATCAATATATCTGAGCAGTCCTTCGAAAAAGCAAAAAAAATCCATCCAAAGACAATGGAGTAGGTGGACAGGCACGAAAGTAATGTTCCTCCTCCATCTTTTCTTCCAGATCCTCCCCTACTGGGACTTTCTACCCCTATTCTGGGAGAGAACAGGGCCAGGAAAACCCTGGGGCCCCCCTGGGGAGTACCCCGCCAGTGTCTTCACCCTTACCTTCGACTTCAGCCACACCACGCTCCAGCCCTTCATGTTCTGCCTGGACAGCCAGTACCAGGCCTCAGCACCCAACTCCCGAGTCCCACTCAGCTCTGCCTTCTTTGCCAGTTGGCAGATCGTGCAGGACGGTGACCAGGTTCCCCAGGGGCAGGTGGGAGTCGGGGTGGAGCCCAGCTTAGTGCCAGGAGGCCAGGCCTCTGCTGATTGTCTCCCCAAGACCATGAAAATAAAGCAGGTGCCACCAACAACTTCAGTCATGAGTCTGCCATCCAATCTGGATTAGAGGATTTCTGAAAGGGGAGGAGATGGGTGGCTGTGGTCTTGAAAGGAGCTTGCCTTCCTCTCCTCAAAGAAGTGTGTGAGAGGGGAGACTTCCTGCCCTGTCAGCTCCAGATCCCTTTGTGTCCGCCCAGGCCGCTGTTTCATGACACAAACCTGAGAGATCCAAGTGACTGGCTTGTCCGGCTCTGAGCTAGCTTGGCATCGTGTGATGACCATTGGGACTTCCAAGAGGCTTGTCCAATCTATGCTGTTCATATTTCCTGACACCCAGTGGCATTGACCCCTTCCTCCAAGGCCTCATGGCCACCACCCCCTCCAAGCTGAACCCTCAAGATTCCAGGTTCGTGATGAGCTCCCGAACTGGCTGTTTTGGCAAGTGAGAAGGATCGGGCTGGACTTGGCTGCTCTACGTGCAGCCGGGTCCAGAGCCTCCCGGGTGAGGGGGCTGCTGGCCCCTCCTCCCAGGCTGCCCCTGAGCAGGGCTGCTGGTGATGGTAGTGGGGAGCGGGGTGGGTCAGGGAAGATCCTTGGTGCCTCCTTTCTGACTGAGGAAAGGATCTACAGGATGTGCTGAGGCTGATGCAGTAAAGCATCCCTGGGACCTCCTTTTTGCTGTCCTGCCACGTCTTCTCCATTCTCACCAGGGTCTCTAGCTTTAGGGACACATCAGGTTGGACACAGGTGCTGAACAAGGACATCAGGACTTTCCAAGTAGGAAAAAAGAAAAAAAACACAGTAGCTTTAAAAGGCAGGGAAGAGCTGCCTATGCCCACCACTCTGGCAAGATCCAGGGAGGAAGTCCCAGGGATATAGAAACTGGATCTTGGCTCTGAGTGGGGAAGAGCAAAGAGCCTGAGAAGTAGGGAACCAGTGGAGTCAAAGTAAGCCTGCCTCAGTTGTTTGGTAAGGACACAAAAAGATTTTATCCCAGGAAAGAAGAAAACTTAGGCACTTTGCTACTATCTTTAATGGACATTAACTCTTCCAATCCTCCCAATGACCTTGAAAGCAGCTGTGACAGCCATTTTTATAGACGAGGAAATAAATTCAGAGACATCTAGTAATTGGCCCAAGCCCACATAACTAGGAAGTAGTACAATTCGAATCAGATTCAGAATTTCTCCTTTCGTCCTCCTGTTCAGTCCACTATGTTTTTTTTGTTGTTCAGTCACCAAGTCTGTCTGACTCATTGCAACCCCATGGACTGCAGCACGTCCGGCTTCTCTGTCCTTCATCATCTCCCAGAGTTTGCTCAAATTCATGGCCATTGAGTTGGTGATGCCTTCTAACCATCTCATCCTCTGCTTCCCCTTTCCCCTTTTGCCTTCAATCTTTCCCAACATCAGGATCTTTTCCAATGAGTCAGCTCTTCACATCAGGTAGCCAAAGGATTGGAGTTTCAGCTTCAGCATCAGTCCTTCCAATGAATATTCAGGGTTGAATTCCTTTAGAATTGACTAGTTGGATCTCCTTGCGGTCCAAGGGACTCTCAAAAGTCTTCTCCAACACCACAATTCCAAAGCATCATTTCTTTGGTGCTCAGCCTTCCTTTTGGTTCAACTCTTGCATCCATATATGACTACTGGAAAAACCATAGCCTTGACTATAATGGACCTTCGTTGGCAAAGTGATGTCTCTGCTTTTTAATATGCTGTCAAGGTTTGTCATAGCTTTCCTTCTGAGAAGAAAGCATCTTTTAATTTCACGGCTGCAGTCACAATCTGCAGTGATTTTGGAGCACAAGAAAATAAATCTGTCGTTGTTTCCACTTTTTCCGCTTTTATTTGCTATGAAGTGATGGGACCAGATGCCATGATCTTAGTTTTTTTGAATGTCGAGGTTTAAGCCAGCTTTTTCTCTCTTCTCTTTCACGCTCATCAAGAGGCTCTTTAGTTCCTCTTTACTTTCTGCCATAGGAGTGGTATCACCTGCATATATGAGGTTGTTGATGTTTCTCCCAGCAATCTTGATTCCAGCCGGTGATTCATCCAGCCTGGCAATTTTCAGGATATATTCTGCATATAAGTTAAATAAGCAAGTGATAATATACAGCCTTGTTATATTCCTTTCCCAATTTTGAACCAGTCAGCTATTCCATGTCCAGTTCTAACCTTTGGTTTTGACCTGCATAGAGATTTCTCAGGAGACAGGTAAGGTGGTCTGGTATTCCCATCTCATTAAGAATTTTCCACAATTTGTTGTGATCTGCACAAAGGCTTTAGCATAGTCAGTGAAGCAAAAGTAGATGTTTTTCTGGAAACCGTTGCTTTCTCTATGATCCAATGTATGTTGGCAATTGGTCTCTGTATCTTCTGCCTTTTCTGAATGGAACTTGTTTATCTGGAAGTTCTCAGTTTTCAGCTCAGTTCAGTTCAGTCACTCAGTCGTGTCCGACTCTTTGTGACCCCATGAATTGCAACACGCCAGGCCTCCCTGTCCATCACAAACTCCTGGGGTTTACTCAAACTCATGCCCATCGAGTCGGTGATGCCATCCAGCCATCTCATCCTCTGTCGTCCCTTTCTCCTCCTGCCCCCAATTCCTCCAAGCATCAGGGTCTTTTCCGATGAGTCAACTCTTCGCATGAGGTGGCCAAAGTAATGGAGTTTCAGATTCAACATCAGTCCTTCTAATGAACACCCAGGACTGATCTCCTTCAGGATGGACTGGTTGGATCTCTTTGCAGTCCAAGGGACTCTCAAGAGTCTTCTCCAACACCACAGTTCAAAAAGCATCAATTTTTTGGCACTCAGCTTTTTCCACAGTCCAACTCTCATATCCATACATGACCACTGGAAAAACCATAGCCTTGACTAGATGGACATTTGTTGGCAAAGTAATGTCTCTGCTTTTTAATATGCTATCTAGGTTGGTCATAACTTTCCTTTCAAAGAGTAAGCGTCTTTTAATTTCATGGCTGCAGTCACCATCTGCAATGATTTTGGAGCCCCCCCCAAAAAAATGTCTGACACTGTTTCAACTGTCTCCCCATCTATTTCCCATGAGGTGATGGGACCAGATGCCATGATCTTAGTTTTCTGAATGTTGAGATTTAAACCAACTTTTTCACTCTCCTCTTTCACTTTCATCAAGAGGCTTTTTAGTTCCTCTTCACTTTCTGCCATAAGGGTGGTGTCAGCTGCATATCTGAGGTTATTGAGGTTCTTAGTTTTGCATACTGCTAAAGCTGAGGGATTTTGAGCATAACCTTACTAGCATGTGAAATGAGTACAATTGTGTGGTAGTTTGAACATTCTTTGGCATTGCCCTTCTTGGGATTCTTTCCAAACCTGTGGCCACTGCTGAGTTTTCCAAATTTGCTGTCTCATTAAGTGTAACACTTTAACAGCATCATCTTTTAGGAGTTTAAATAGCTCAACTGGAATTCCATCACCTACACTAGCTTTATTCATAGTAATGCTTCCTAAGGCCCATTGAACTTCATACTCCAGGATGTCTGGCTTTAGGTGAGAGACCACAGCATCATGTTTATCTGATTATTAGGACCTTTTCTGTATAGTTCTTCTGTGTACTCTTGCCACCTCTTCTTAATATCTCCTGCTTCTGTTAGGTCCTTACCATTTCTGTCCTTTATCATGCCATCCTTGCATCAAATGTTCCCTTGATATCTCCAATTCTCTTGAAGAGATCTCTAGTCTTTCTCATTCTATTGCTTTCGTTTATTTCTTCGCATTACTCATTTAAGAAGGCCTTCTTATCTCTCCTTGCCCTTCTTTGGAAATCTACATTCAGTTGGGTATATCTTTCCCTTTCTCCCTTGCCTTTCACTTCTCTTCTTTTCTCAGCTATTTGTAAAGCTTCCTCAGACAACTAACTATTGACTTCTTGAATTTTCCTGTGAGATTATTTTGGTCATGTCTTCTGTACCATGTTACAGACCTCCACCAATAGTTCTTCAGGCACTCTATCAGATCTGATCCCTTGAATCTGTTTATTACTTCCACTATACAATCATAAGGGATTTTATTTAGGTCATAGGTGAATGGCTTAGTGGTTTTCCCTATTTTCTTCAATTTAAGCCTGAATTTGGCAATAAGGAGCTCATGATCTGGGCCACAGTCTGCTCCAGATCTTGTTTTTGCTGACTGCAGTTTCTCCATCTTCGACTGGAAAGAATATAATCAATCTGATTTTGGTATTGACCATCTGGTGATATTCATGTGTAGAGTTGTCTCTCTGTTGTTGGAGAAGGGTGTTTGCCATGACCAGTGTGTTCTGTTAATATAATGATGTCAGGGGAAGGCTTTGGCCAAAGCCTTGCTTATCTCTCCCTCTCCCAATCTCCTAATTTCCTGTCTAAATGCAACCGGAAGCCCCATCTGCCTCTGCTAATCTTTGGCAGTGTATAGTAAAAGGTGAGCAATTCCTACTGCACCTACCATAGGACCAGGCGGGCACATAGCAGACACTCAAGAACCTGAGTGTCTTGAAACATCCCACCCTCGCCTTCTCCCACAAAGTCCCAAAGTCTGTTCTATACATCTGTGTCTCTTTTTCTGTTTTGCATATAGGGTTATCGTTACCATCTTTCTAAATTCCATATATATGTGTTAGTATACTGTAATGGTCTTTATCTTTCTGGCTTACTTCACTCTGTATAATGGGCTCCAGTTTCATCCATCTCATTAGAACTGATTCAAATGAATTCTTTTTAATGGCTGAGTAATATTCCATGGTGTATATGTACCACAGCTTCCTTATCCATTCGTCTGCTGATGGGCATCTAGGTTGCTTCCATGTCCTGGCTATGATAAACAGTGGGTGGAGAGGGAGGTGGGAGGGGGGATCGGGATGGGGAATACATGTATATCCATGGCTGATTCATGTCAATGTATGACAAAAACCACTACAATATTGTAAAGTAATTAGCCTCCAACTAAAAAAAAAAAAAAAAAAAAAGAACCTGAGTGTCTTTCCTTCCCTCCGCTTTGGTGCTCTGATAGAGTGGTGGCGCCTCCTGCTGGAGATCTGAGATTGCTAGCTGCCCAAGTTAGCCACACAGCGAGCTCCTGTTCCCTTTAAGCTGTCTCATCCTAACTCTTGCAGTCTCCACTAATCCCTTCCCAAGTCCAATACCAAATTTTGGAGTTGAAAGGCCTGGTTTGAGCTCCATGGAATGGTGGGGGTGACCTTGGAAAAGTCACAGTTTCTCAAGCTTGGCAAATACCCATTGATAACATGAGGATTATAAAGTACTTCAGAAGTGTGAGGATCCTGAGAGTTATTCACACAGCAATGCCTATTAATGGGAAACTTCATATGGTTTTCCTTTGCTCAGCTTGAGGATGGTGTTTGGGAGTTGTAGTTGAGTGGACAATGTTGGGCTGCAGTCTCTTTGGGTCATGGCAAATCTATCTCCTATCTTGATGGTCCCATCATATCATGTGATTTGGTCCTGGTGTGGGATCCTGATGGCTCAGAAATCAATATGGCTAGTCTTTGTTGGTTTCTGAGTGGGTAAAAAATATTTTTTATTTTAATTAAAATTTTAATTAATTTTTAAATTTTAATTTTTAATCTAAACTTTTAATTTTAATTAAAATTTAAAATTTTAATTTAAAACAATTTTAAATTATATTGATATAATTAATATATCATAAATTTACCCTGTAAAGTATATAATTCAGTGATTTTAGTATAAAGTTGTACATCATATGTAATTTCAGAACATTTTCATTACTCACAAAAGAAACAGTAATAATAGTCACTCCCCATCCCCACCCCAGCCCCTGACAATTACTAATCTAGCTTTACATGTTTGTCTATTCTGGACCTTTCATATAAATGGAATCATGCAGCAGGTGGTCATCTTCTGAGCAGCTAAATTTTATCCATGGTCTTCATTTCTTGGTTTGTTCATTGATGTACTCATTCAGTCATTCTACAAATCTGGAAGTCTTTATATTCTGGGTACTGTCTTACTTGTGTCTAGTTAATGCCGCAACTGTATCATTGTGGTGGTGAGTGTTGGTTTATAACAGCTTCCTACATTAGAACATACTCCTCAGCGTCCGCACAAAACACAGTTGTCTGCTCGAATTGAAAACCAGAGAGCAGTGGTTCGGTCTTTGGAAAGTTCAAGGCCTCTTCTGCCAGCAGGGATTTTGTTCTGCTCAATATTGCCTGATCACACAGCTCTCCTGGGACAAATCAGGACAAATCGTGGTGAGCAGAAGCCAATGGGAATCCACAGGGGGAAGACGAAACTGCTCCTGCCCCTTGACCTACAGGGTATAATGCTTGGAGGTGCTTCTGTGGACTCTCCCGGCCCCAGAATCTGGCACAGCTTAGCCGGGTTCTGAAAAATGAGTGTTTGGCAAGGAAGTTCCTGGGTCTGCATGGGACACCAGACAACACTGTCATCTGAATCAGGGCCATCACAGAGTCTCTTTTGCCAGGGGCCCTAGTGGGGCATCTCCTGGCTTGTCTTTTTGAGAACCAGTTTCAAAGAGCCCGAGATGGAGACAGGTAAGTGACCCGCCCCTAAAGGGACCAGCCCAGGAGGCAGGGCAGAAAAGCACTAGAACTTCAAGAAATATTCTTTTTAGCTTCATTGCTTCCAAGTTCATAGGACCTGAGACCAGGAGGCTCGGTCAGAGGGGAGAGGCCACTTACCTGAGCTGCCTTAACCCAGGAGACAAACTTCTCAGCCTGGCTCTTTCAGGCTTGAGGGTCCCAGAAAACACAGGCATAAAGAGCTATTAATAAATCTGGTTTCCCGCCAACAAGTTTGTGATTTAAGACTTGACTCCTCATTTGGATTTAGCATTGACCTGGGTTCAAATCCAGTCCTGAACACTTAAAATTACTGTGCACTTAAAACCAAGGAAATTTATCTGACCGCTGAACACGCTTCTTCCTTTGTAAGATGGGAACCATACCTATTTTGCAGGGATTTTGGAGAATTGAATGAAATAATGTCACCCTGTGGTTAAAATACCTCACACAGAGCAGGTGCTCACTCTTGCTCATCCCCGGCAACCTTCACCCACGTCTCTCTACTGTCCTGGTAGGTTCTGTGGGCAGAATCAAGGTGTTTTCACTGAGAGACAGTGTGTGGCCCTGAGCCACATCTCCTTGCCTCGAACTGTGTGTGACAACCCTGGTATCACCACTGACCCAAGGGACATCTTCAGGGCCAGCTCTACTTTTGGGGCTTTGTGCCCTGCTCCTATACCCCCAGCCTGAACGTATCTGCCCAGAGAGGCAGATGAGGCCTCCACAGGTAAGGGGGCCTCTTCCGACAGCCTGGGCTGGCTCAGGCCTTCTCATCCGTCCCTGGACAGGACAGCTGAGTCCTTTCAGGCCTCTAAACAGCAACACAGAACTTGCCTCTAGGGACAGGACATGCTTTCCCAGTGTCTCCCCAGTATGCTAGCCTCTGGGTTGACAGCTACTCCCAGGGCCCAGGGCTTTGGGGGGCAATTAGAAGTATCCACCTAGCCTCGGCTGAGTCATCAACACCCTAAAAAAGTTCTGCTTCTGGACATCCAGCAAGTCCCTCACTTGTCCACTTGTGCTGCTTCCTCACGAGTCCATCCCAGGCCTCTGACCTTGGAGACCAGGAAACCTGGGAAGACCACAAGGCTACCTTCTCCCCTGAAGTAACCATTTCCTGCTCATGCTTTTGCCGGCTATGGCTGGTTCTCCAACTGGGAGTGACGGCTGGGGCTCCCGGCAGCAATGAGCCTTCTGCCAGGCAACCCTCTCATGTGTCAGGTCACACATCAGCGCCGTGTACAAGGGCTCGAGAGCCAAGCAAGGGGTTCTGGAAGGCCCGGGCAAGGAGGGTTTCCAGCCGCTTTCGTCCATTTCCCATCCTGTTCCTGACCCCTGCCTAGAACTGGGAGGCCAGAGTCCCAGCCTCCAGCCACCCCACGGTTTCCTCTGGAGCCTGCAGGGTGGGCAGCACTCGCTGCTTCTACCAAGAAAGCACCGCTGAGGGCAGAAGCTGTTTCTGCTTTGAGTTGGGGATGGGGAGGTGTGGGACCTGTCGTGCACTTCACTCCGGATGTTTCAGAGGAATGCTGCTAACACACAGCTGGCACTAACCTTGAAGACTCTCCTGGGGGCTGAGATAGGAGAATCCAAAGAAACTCTGGAGTAGGAAAAGGCAGGGAAAGGTGGCAGTGTTAGGAGCCCCGACATTAAGAATACCTTGGCCATGCCAGAGACTTGAGCAGAAAACAAGCCAACAGAACGTCAGATGGTAGAAAATCTTTTTATGTACAAAAAACACAATAAAAGGTACTAGCCAGCTAGCAGAAAGGACTGGACATTGCCTTCAGCCTTCATTTACGCTGGCAGCCAGCCCCCGGTGGGAAGAGGAGGCTGGGCTCCCGGGCTGGGAATGGAAGAGCTCCCTTGGCTGCCTTCTCTCTCGGGCCCCAAGTGTGCAGCAGGTGCAGAGCAGGACAGACCGCTGTGCTCTGCCCCCGAGACCAAGAGACAGGCCAGAGAGCAGGCGGTGCCAAGGACAGAAGTAACTCTGGCCTTACCCCCAAATGGGTCTCAACCCCGAAACACCTGTCCTTTTGTGAGGGGCGTGTGCAGGGGCTGACACATCAAGAGGGGACCACCTGTGGGCCACAGGGTCTCTGGCTTTGTTGCCATCTGGCAGCTGAAGAGCAGGTGGGGGGGTCGGGATTCTCAGCTCCTCTGGTTATCAGCAAGTCAGCGGGGTCTCTAACCAGAAAGATGAAGAGGTGGCAGGGCCCGGGCCGTGGTGGGTATCACTTATCGCAGAGGCCAGGGCTGCAGCGAGCTAGGAGACTGAGGTCTCCGAGGGGCTCACAAGGTCCTGGGGGAGGCTTTCTCGGGCCTCCTGCATACGGCGCCGGGCTCGCCGGAAGGCCTCTGTGAGGGAAGCAGACACAGGAGTCAGGACCATGGTGTGGGGGCGATGGGGCCCACGTGGATATCCGGGGTGGGGGGCGGGGTGGTGGCTGGACCTGGGTGGAGGGGGAAGCCTACCCAGAACATTATGAATGGAACTCTGCTGGCTGAATCCCTCCAGACGGTCCAACACACTCCGCATCCTCTTCCGGAGGGAACTTGACTCCATGAAGGCCCTGTGGGGGAGCCGGCCACCTGACCACAGCTGCTCCGCAGCCCTGGGGACCAGGAGCCCTGAGGCAGAGGGCCAGGGCCACTCACCGGGACTGCTGCAGACAGTGCAGGCGGAAAGTGACGCTGCCTGTGGTCTCAGCGCGGAGTCCGAAGCGGCTCAGACGCTCCCCCTGTGGATCCGGTTAGTCTCAGGTCTTGGTTGGTTTCTAGACCCCAGGCACCATGCTGGCCTCATTCCCATTTGGGGAGAACAGGTCTGTTGGGGAAACTTCATCCAAGCACCCAAATGCCATCACCTCCCGAATGTCAATCAGGGAACAGTCCAGCCTCATTTGAGAATTAGCAGTCTTCTAAGAAGCCAGCTGACCCTCTGCTTCCTGAGGTCTCAGGGATGGGCTAGGGGGAGGGGGCGGTTACTCTGATGGGGGCCAGGGGGAATCTTTAAGCGTCCTACTTCTCAGGGCTCTCCTAGGAGCGCAGTGACGTCTGTATGTGCTTCAAGATGTGGCTGAGATTTCCCACTGGAGCCACAGAAAGAAGAGACTAAGAACTGATGAAGCAATGAATGAGTAAGGGGCCTTAACCCAGACTGCGCCTTTCCCAGAAGACAGGGACATAACTTCCCAGGGTAAAATATACCCAGAAACAAAAGTCACCTTGAAGGTTCCTGGTATCCACACGTAGGAGAGGTCCTCCAGTTCCAGAGAGCCACCAATGAAAAACCTCCGCAGTTCAGCCACCGGGCTGAGCTCCAGGGGCCTCCAGGTGGAGACCGTCAGGGTGTGAGAGCCTGGGCAGAAGAGGATGCAGCCAGGGCTGGGGAGGGCCTGCGGTCCCTCGCGGGCTCCCCAGCAGTGACCCGGGACTCGCCACCACTGAGACACCTGCTCTGGTGACAGCCTGACCGCTGCTGAAGGTCACCATGGAGGATTAGGGGAACCATGTAGGCATCAACCAGACAAAAGCTCAGATCTTAGCTCTGCCAGTTCCTACCAGGGCAAGTTTCTCAGCCTCTCTGAGCCCCATTCTCCTCATCTAGTAAAACGGAAATAAAACCAACACCTATGCCTCAGAGAGTGGTGGGGAGAATTAAATGAGAAGCACTCAGCACACTGCCTGCTCCACAAGAGAAGACAGTGGCTATTTCAAAAGGAACGGGGACCCGCTCAGTACATGTCTGTTCAGAGCCCATCTGGACACAGGCTGCTCCCCCAAGGCTGCAGGTCCAATCAGAGGAGCCAGATCAGAGCCCAGAGCTGCTCGGCTGTCTCTAACGGAGACGGAAAATGCCCTCAAAAGGAGCACAGAATCTCGCAAGTTACATGCTTCTAGTTCCCCGTCACCCCCCCTTCTCCCAGGATGCGGTCGAGTCCTCTGAAGCGTCAGCCTTGCGTCTAGGAGCGGGGGCAGGAGGGCCGCGTGCAGGGCAGGGACGAGAGGTCACCTGGGGTGGTGGGCAGCACCACAGCCCCGTAGCCTTCCACACGGTACCGCTGCCAGAAGTCCAGCGAGAGGACCTCGCAGTAGAGCACGGGCCACTCTGGGAGCGCACCTGCCGAGGGGAGAAGCGGCCAGGTCCCGGGAGGCCCCCACGGGAGAGGGCGCATCTGAGGAGCCCCAAGGCCGGGGACTGGCCCGGCCACTCACCGACAGATTCATCCTCGTGGAGGAAGGAGGCCTCGAACGTGAAAGGGTAGGAGAAGTAGGCCACGTTATCCTAGAAAGGAGGACTGTTGTTTTATACTTGGTCCCAATGGAAAAGGAAAAACCATCACTCCACACAGGAAATAAGAGGCTAAGAGGGGAAGGGACCCCCATACGCAAGTTGCTGCCATTCTCAAAAAGGCAGAGAACCCTGGGGCCAGGCGGCCCTGCAGGGCCCACAGCAAAGTGCCAGACCCAGCTCTGGCGTCCTCCCCGGGCAGCCAGCCCGATCATCTTCGGATGTCATGCCAGGAGCAGCCCTGTTCCCTTCAGGCGCCCCTCTTGTTGCCATACCATCCCCCGGGACTTGGTGGCACAGGTCTGTGTTATTCCTGAGAGCTGCTGGAACGCTGGGCTTGACCAGTCTAAAAGCCAAAGACCACACAGAGTAAGTCAACCTGGGAGGAAGGTGAGCAGTTGGGAGAAACACAAAGCTCCTTTCCGCATTCAGTCACTCATGCACGTGATCAGTCACTCATGTCACGTTCACTAGGTCCATTGTGTGTGTCCCTGGAGACATTTCAGTGACCGGTCAGAAAACCTTCCTGTCTGTCTCTCATGGGGCTGACCTTCTAGCTGGGGATGGGAGGGGGCACAGAAAGCCAACCAACCAACAACAGACCACCAGGAAGTGATAAAAGCTAAATATAAAACAGGGTGAAGAGACTGAGAGGCCTGGAAGCTCATTGAGGGATGCTGAGGGACACTCGGAGGTGACACTTAGGCTGAGACCTAAACTGAAGCAGAACCAGTCATGCAAAGATCGGATACAAAAGGTTTCGGACAGGAAATGGTCCTGAAAAGGCACCAGAGTGGGAATGAACTTGGCCTGTTGAGGAACAGGAAGCACGACTGGAATGTTGTAAGGGAGAGATAGGCTGGGGCCAGCTCTTTCAGGGAATGGGGTCTGGACTTTGCTCAAAGTGGGAAGGGAAGCCATGGGGGCTTTGAGTTGAAGAGAGACACAGCTGGTTTAGATTTTAAAGGCTCGGTTAGGCTGTGGTGTGTATGGCAAATGAAACGTAAGAGGGAGCTTCCCTGGTGGCTCAATGGTAAAGAATCCACCTGCCAATGCAGGAGACACAGGTTCGGTCCCTGGTCCGGGAAGATTCACACAAGCCGAGGAGAAACTCAGCCCGTGCACCATAACTACTGCGCCTGTGCTCCAGAGCCCAGGAGCCGCAGCTACTGAAGCCTCAGAGCCTGAGAGCCCGGTCTCTGCAACAAGAGAAGGCGCTGCCGTGAGAGGCCTGAGCACCGCAACTAGAGAGGAGCCCCCCCACTGCAAGCAAGACCCAGCACAGCTAAAAATACACAGATAAATAAAAATTATTTTAAAAATGAAAAAGAAAAGAAACGTAAGAGCAAGACAGGAAGCAAGAGGATAAATTGGAAACTTAATGCTTTGGCCTAAGTAAGAGATGATTATAGTTTGGTCCAGGGTCCTCAAGAGAACAGGTAATTCAGGACATCTTTGGGAAACAGACCTGACAGGAATTGCTGATGGCATGAATGGTGGTAGGGAGCTAGAGAAAGTGGGGAATTAAGGATGCCTCTTATATTCCTGGTATTAGAAACCAAAGAGATGACATCGTGGTTCTGCTAAGATGGAGAAGACCGTAAGGGCAGGTTTGCAGCAAGAGGAGGAATCAAGGATGCTTTTGGTCACGTTAAGCAGAAACAACAAACAGGTAAGTGGTCATGAGTCTGGAATTCAGGGAGAGGCTAATACTAGAGAGAGAAGTCTGGGAGTCTGAGACACACACACAAAACTGAAGCCACAGGAAGGATGAGGCCACCTAGAAAGACTGTGGAGAGACAGTGAAAGAAGGTCAGGCCTGGCCTTGGATACTCTAACAGTTTTAGGTCAACAGAAGATGAGGAAACAGCCAAGAAGGCTGCCGAGCCACCAGCGAGAGGGCAGAGAGGAGCACGGAGCCAGAAGGCAAGAGGAGAGGGTCAGTGAGGAAAGTGAGCTGTAGCAGCTGACAGACCAAGGAGGGCGAAGGCAGACACGTCCCCACAGGATTTCACATCTTGGAAGTGACCTAGGACCTGGAAAAGAACACTAACATTTTCAGTGGAAGAGTGGGGATGGACACCTGACCGAATGCCTCTGGAAAACTGTCAGAAGGCGTAAAAAGAGAGACTTGTGAATACTACTTACTAGAAGTTGGCAATTCCACAAAGAAGTGGACGTACAGGTTGTCATACTCATAGCCCTGGGCTGAAACTAAGAAAACAGGAAACGGTTTCAGTTTATTGCCCTATCACCCCTAACGCCTGACCCAGTCCTGCAGGGCCTACCGCTTGGGGAAGCAAGTCCCCTGAGGGCCGGGAACTCTCTACGTTTCCAGGAAAGACTCAAGCCTGAGTCTCCCGACAACCCTCCCGACAACTCTCTTGCGGACAACCCAAGGCCACTGCCGGGGTGGGGAGGACTATTCCACAGTGCTCTCTCTGGCACTTGCCAAGCCTCAGGGGACCTCTGTCTGGTGAGACACTTACCCACCTCTCCATTCACAAACAGCCGGAGGGCACCTGGTACCGTCTGGGGTAGAGAGAAGTGAGAACAGGTCAGGAGGTTTGAGGGAAGCAACGCCTCTCCTCCAGCCTGTCCATAAACCCCCAGAGGACCTGACATGAGACATCCAATTCTGGCATGTAACTACCCAGACTTCCTCCCCATCTGCCATTTCTCCACAGATCTGTTTCCTTCATTTCTCAAATGCGTAACGTAGGGGGAAAGCACCTAATTTAAATGGTGGAGAGGGCAATGGAGTGGGAGGAACTTATGAGAATGGCCAAGAAAAGCATCCACAGCTGCCCACTGCCCTACAGCAAGAGGCTGGAGAACCCTGCTCCCTCTGGAGGGCTGAGGTCAAGAAACTAGGCAGTTTTCTTTTAAAATTATTTGTGTCTCCATCTTATCTAACTTTTTAACACTGAACATCTGTTGCTAATACAATATAAAAATAGTGAGAGCTAATTTTTTACAGACAGAGAGGGAGACCACCGAGTAACTCTATCTCTGTTTCCAGATCTAGAAATGGAACTCCTGGAATAAGAGAAGACAAGAACAGGACCACAGGATTATGGACTCAAACTGTTCTGTCTTAAAAGCCAAACTATCTGACGAACAGAAATGAGACACCTCCTTCCTTTATGGGGCATGAAGGAAAAATATCTACATTAAGAGTAAGGAAGACATTTCATCTTTATACTTATTTATAAAAAAAATTAATGGTTCAATAGCATCACTGACTCAGTGGACATGAGTTTGAGCAAACTCCGGGAGATAGTAGAGGACAGGGAAGCCTGGCATGCTGCAGTCCATGGGATCACCAAGAGTCGGACATGATTGAGCGACTGAATAGCAATAATAAAATAAAGTAATACATGAATGCACCACCACTGATAAAAATTCAAAACTATCTAAGTTTAGAGAATAAAAAGGAAACATTCCTGACATAGCCCTCAATAGCCAGCTACTGTCTTCCAACTCCACCCCCTTCCCAGAGAAAGCCCCCAGAAGGCGTGTGCCCCCTGAGACCTCTTCCTATGCATCAACAGTTCTATATCAACATGCAGTGCTTCAAAAACACAGCAAGGACTGCACTCTGTATGTTATTTTCTAGTTTCTTCTTACACTGAAGAGTGTGTCTTGGGGACCTTGAAGAGAGGACCGTCACTCAGCTAGAGTCAGAGCGCTCTGGCTACAGAAACCCAGCTTATGGTGGTGCAGGAAGCTGGGCGACTCACCGTCTCAAAGTCAGTGCCCACGAGGCTGTTGAGATACTCCTTGTGCCGGCCATAGAGCTGAGGAAACAAACCACACCAAGCCTCAAGATGCAGTCCCAGCCAGACCAGGGTTCAGATCTGAACTGGAGGGGGAAACGAGCAGGAATGGGAAACGCCACAGACAGCTGGGTGCCTAAGCATTCCTGCCACCGACATCCGACAATGAAGCACAGAGGCCCTGGGGTCCACTGGCCTGGGACCCACCCAGCTCCCACACTGCTGCGGCCTTGGGCAGACTGCTCAGCTTCTTGATCTCCACTGCCTCATTTATAAAACGGTCATAAAATAAGCATTCCCTCGAAGGGTTGTGGCACAGTCTAAATGAAATTAGGCATGTGAAGGCCCTAGCACAGAGCACAGGCCATGCTCAGATAGATCGTCATTAGCATAATGATCTTGTAACAGGCTCAAAGGCTCGTGTCTGATAGGTTAGAAGGGCTTCCCAAATCAGGAGAGGCCATCAAGAGCAAGACCTGGCCACTGCTGACCCACCCTCAGGCGCGGCCTCAGCTCCCAGCTCTCCGGTTCTCGGATGAATCAGCACTCACGTCCTTGAAGACGCGCTGCTCCCGCTCCTCCTCCTCAGGCTGGGCGAAGGAACTCACGTTGTCAATCGTATACTTCCACAGCTCCTGCTTCTCTCCCTCTGTCTCGATTCTGTAAGGTCAAAGCCACAAAGGGCCTAACTGGGAAAACAGGAGACGAGGCCCTCCAGACCCAACCCAGGGACAAACTGTCAGCTGGGAATTTAAATGTTAGGAGAGACGAAGGGCTTTCTGAGAACTTCCCCAACTTGAGGCAAGAAGTGAAGCCAAGGAAAGGAATGCTAGTCTCCACCGCCTCTTTCTTCCTCTTCTCACCTGTAGGGCCCTTTGGAGCCAGTGAAGTCAGGTTTTACTGTGATCACTCCATTGCTGTCCACCTTCAGAGTACAGAGGACATGTTCATGCTTCTTATAGCCAAGCCTAAAAACCAGGGGTAACACCAGAGTTCAAGATTGCTGGCCTCATTTCTGGGAAAGAGGAAGAGGTATTCAGTCCACATCAGGGGAGAAGACAGAGGCTGCAGTGAGAACAGTCAGAGTAAAATATTTCCTTCCCAAGAAAAAGAAGGAAACAAAATCCCTCCCTCCCATATACCTGGGATGACCGTAACGGGAGGGTGATGGTCAGTGACAGGAGAAGAGGATGAAGGTCTGAGCTGGGCAGTGAGAAGCTTCACTCACTTTCCATAGGGCCCCAGGTCTGCCATGATATACATGGTCTGAAGAGGGGTGTTGATGACATGGCTGTTCCTGATGAATTCTTCTGAGGGCTCCCAGGTGACGACTCGTGACTGTAGAATGCCACCCCCCCTGGGAGACACCACAGGAAGGCTCACTTCCCTGGCGCCCCTGAAGAGCCTGAAGGAAGAACGCAAGGGGGCACACCCAGGAGGAGTACAGGGGGGCACTCCACTGCGGAGTGGGACACACACATCGGTGAGCTCACGGGGAACACAGGCACAGGAGGAGCCCGGGGGCCTCCCCAGCCCCATCCACGCTTGCACTCACATCCCTCGCTTGTCCTGCCGTCGCCGCCTGACATTTGCCATCCGCTCGACCAAGAAGGATGGCATTTCGCTGGCGGCGGTGGTCATTTTCTGACAGTGCTGGGAAAACAGAGCAGCTTGGTATAAGCCAGCTGCTCAGGGCCACGTGGGACCACGCACCTGGAGGGAAATCTTCCTTCTGAAACCTCACAGGACCTTAAGAGCGCAGCCACCTCACAACAGCACACGCTGATGGAGGGTGCAGTGACACAAACAGCTCAGAGGAGAGCCCGACCAGCCCTGATCTGCCCTAAGGTGGTAGCAGCACATTACTCTTGAGAAATGAGTCTGCAGTCTGTAAGCCCATACCAACAGAGTTGGGTGAGTCGACCCGGTAGATGCTGACATCACTAGGTGGTTGGAAGATGCCGAATGTAACGCAAGTATTCCGTGAAAAACCCTTCCACAGGTAACTGAACACTAACTGTAATTTTCCTTTCTTTACCAAAACAGACAACCTAAATTTTACATGCTCCCAACCCACAACTTTCAAAAACATTCACTTAACACCTGGCTTAGATATCTATAGGGTCACAGACAAAAATCAGAAAATATAGGCTCTCCCCACCTTCAAGGAATTTATAATCTCACTGAGAAGATAGAACATATCATATAGTGACTGAAGAAAATCTAAAACGAGGCCACAAGGGTATGCTGTCCTCAGCAAACTGAGGACATAAGCCATTCCCCATACAGTACTGAATTCCTCTTCAAATCCGTATGTTCAGTTTTGGCTGAATCCCATGATGAACTTAATCTAGATGGTTCTAGACTCCATCCACCTGTTGATCTCATGATGCACGGGGGAATCAAACCTAGTGGCTGCTCCCCGCAGTGTGTAGTCTGCAAGCCTAGCATTAGAGACATTGCTAGCTCCCTTAGTCCCTCCAGCATGCGGGGCAAGGAGCAGCAGCCACACCACCCACAGACTGTGCCCACCTACCTACTCCAGCCTGGCTGCCAGGAACACATGGAAATTCCTAGAGAGGCTCACTTAACAGGCTTCTGAGTTAAAACAGGAGCCAGAAAGCCAGGGGAAACAAAGGTGAAGGGAGCTACAGAGCTTGGCTAAGTCTATCTGAGTCTGTCTACTTGGGAAAGAATGATACCTCCTCTAAATTGGTGTATCTATCAGAGTCAGTGTAGGTAAATATCCGTCGGTTCTTCCTGCCACCTGAATCTTCCAGCTTCAGAATCTCTTGACGGTACTGATGATCCAAAGGGCTCTGACAGGCTGCTTCATTTTGGTACAGATCTACTTCAAACTGAGGTCACAAAGAAACAGAGTTCCACTGAGAGTATTTTAATTTTGTCGCTACAACTGTTTGGTCAAATATCATTTGTCAGGATGTTTTATCTAAACTGATAGAGGACAGAAAAGCCAACGAAGGTTAGAGCTACAAGGAACCAGACAGATAGTCTAATTCAATTCTGCTGTTATGGAACAGACATACCAAGACAGGAATTCTGCTGTTTTGGTATGCGGCCCAGAGGTGAAAAGCATGTTACTCAAGATCATAAAACTGGCTAGTGGCAGGTACTACATTACACTGATCCTGTAAACACAGCAGTGGGAAGTATAAATTGTTGTAACCTTTCTGGAAATCAGTTTGGTGATATGTATCAAGAACCTTTCCCTGCGACCAGGCAGGAGGACGTGGGCCAGGTGCAGGTAGACCCAGCAGACAAGGGACACTAGCCCACCTGGCTGAAGAGCTTCTCTTGCCACCCAATCACAACCTCCTCTTCTTCTTCTTCCTCTGGGCGGTGTCCACCTCCAAAGAAAACAGAGTGAGTCAAATGTTTGAGCCCAACTAGCACCACTTCTTGCTCTCTGGTTGGTTATAACCAAAGTCTGTGGTCTTATATTTGCCACAAAACCAGTTGGAGTTCACTGATTATGAAGTACTCACTCTAGAGAGGCAGTAGGTATGTGCAGAAGCCAAGATTAAGACCCAAGAAGTTTTAAACACCCCTTTAACTTTAATAAAATAAATCATGTCCTCCAGGGATTATTTAATCTAATTCAGAGTCAAGAGCTGAAATTTAGATATAGGCTGAACAGCTCTTTCTCAATCCCAATTGTCTACATTTGCTAGACAGGAACTATGGCATTTTTATCTTCACTATTTCTGAAGCCATAAACCTAGAATCACAAACACTGTAACCTTAAGAGACCAAGTGTTAAGAGAGAAAAGGAAAGACATATAAGTGATTTTTTTTAAAGAACTAAATCTAATATGTACACTCCTATATGAGTATGCCTTTTCCAAAGGTAAATGCTTCAAAACCCACCAGCTCACACTTTTGCCCAGGAATATTTCTGAACAGAAACAACAAAAGCAAAGAGACTAGTGACCTAACACAAAAACACTGTCTTCTCTTTCTCACTTTTCTGGCTTCTCAGAGAAGGAAAAATGCTAGAACACATACTAATACGAATATGTACATTTTCTGGGACTTCCCTGGTAGTCCCGTGGTTGCACTGCAGGGGGCATGGGTTCCATCCGTACAGGGAAAACTAAGATCCCACATGCCACACAGCAAGGTAAAAAAAAATAAAAGTGCATTTTCAAAGCAGACCCAAATGTTTAACTTATTTTTAAAAAGTGTTTATATCGTAAGTTTCAAGCTTGGAGTGATACTTTCTCTTAGAAAAAAAATAAATGCCACAAACGGCATTTGGGTTTAGAGGTAAATTTATAATATACCTAAAGCACGATATTTGCTATTTCACTACATTTGACCACAGTTAGATCAGCTTCTTGATAATAGGAATCACGTCTTATCCACTTTTCACACAACAAAGCAGTAGTTAAAATTGCTTGGGATCAAATTCTGACTTCAACCGTTAGCAACCCAGTGACCTTGGACAAGAAACCCAACCTCTCTATACCTTTTCTCAGACTATAGACCTGGGTCTACTCTGTCTTAAGAGGTAACCTCCGCCCTAGGCCCTTCCTCAGACACCCAAGGGGCCCCATCACCACTATACACCCACTGGCCGTTGGGTGAGGCCTAAAAGTGGCCAAGTCTATGAGATCCTTCCCCAGTTGGGCAGCAGGCTGGCAATGGAGGTAGTTCCTTGATGTGATTCTTTGCAGGTGGACTCTGCCAGGAAAGAAAAACCCAAAATACTGTTAAAAGACACAGAACCAGGAGACGAACGCAAAGCAAGGATGGGGAAACAAAACACAGAAGAGATTATGGCTACCAAGAGATGTGGCGGGGTGCAGGCAACAGAGGGGAGGGGAGGGGGGCATGCGGCCCCAGGGAGGAGAGGATGCGAGAGTGTACTGGAGGGAGACACAGGGCTCTGAGGAATTTGGGGGGCATAGGGTCCTGAAAGGGTGAGTCTGGAAGCTGCGAGTGAAGAGGGTTCCGGGTAGTGAGGGAGACGCGAGGAGACCGGGTGACAGTGGTCAGTACTGCAAACGGAAGTGAGGGCCCCAGCAAAGGAGAAGTGTAATTCAGGCTCCAATTATCTGAGAGCATAAAAGCACGGGGCTCTGGGGTGATGCGACTACCGGAGGCGGAGGTTGCGCACGGGGTCCCGGGAGCGGTACACGGCCTCTCCGGTGTCAGTGCTCCAGATGGCCTCCGCCATGACAGCTGCGCCGCGCACGACTGCGCCGGAAAGCGCGCCGCCCCGGTTCCCCTGGCAACTGAGACGCCGCCAGGAGCCTGGAACCCGGTTCCCTAGGCGGCGCGGCAGAAGCCCCGCCCATTGCGGGCCCTGCACTGGCTGAGTCCCTGCCCACGCCGGCTGGGTGGTCCTGCCGGGTCGCCGCTGGTCTTGAGTGCGAACAAAGCTCGCTCACACCCAAGGCCGGGCTGGATGCGCTTGACGAATGAGGAAACTAAAGCAGCGCTATCGGCCACCATTATGTAGATTCAGACAGAAATGGTCGTGGGCCCCAAATCCGAGTGTCCTGAGCTCTCAGCTACTATTTTTCCCACCACACTGAATCCGGGGACACTTTGGCCTCAAAATCGGTTGACGGGGACTCGCAGAATGCACCCGTTCTTCCCAGAGGAGTGACGGGAGGTGAAGACAGTTACCCAGACATGAAAGTATTTTCTTGGAAGCAAACAAAAATGTCAGAAGATTTATTAATCCTTGGGTTGGCATTCACTGAACCAGAGAAAAAAGAAGCAAGGAAGCTAGCGGTAAGGAAGGAAAAGGTGTCATTATTGCACTGGTTTCTCTCCTGCTTGTGTTATTTCCCGATTTGTAAGCCACCTTGGATACCGCACTGACCTTGAGAAAGGTCAATAAAATGCCATTCTGGAGACGTGCTTCATTGGGCTGCCAAAGGCGGGACACACCTGTAACCTCAAGTCCGGCTCTCTAGCACCTTGGGGATGGCAGCAGTTATCAGCCTTTGTCATTTGCTGCTTCTTGTCCCCTGAACCCAGTTTGATTATATGGCATTGGCAGCCATCAGCAATAAAGCTGCTCTTGTGTAACACTAAAGACTCACTATAACAATAGCCCTATTTCTGTAAGATCTAATACAACCTGGGCTCCTTGTTTATATTGTCCTTGATCCTCCTAGAAAGCCAATGAAGTTATTGAAGGCCAGAATTTAAAGATTGAACTGGAGTAAGTGGTAGAGAAGCTGAGACGCCAGCCCAGGCCTGTCTTTTGAAGCCTAACACGTTCCACTCTGCTTCACAACCTCTCACCTACCAATTTATTCTGTAAGAGCACACAATTCCCAACCTTGGAAATAGTAATAATTATTTCAACAGGTGAAACCGTGGAGGCAGAATATCAGTTCTTAAGGGAAAAGATCACTCTAATTTTTTCTTTTAAAATTGTGAATAGGCAACAGTTTGCCATATGAACAACAAATGATACAGTTGGAGCCTGAACCAGCAGTTTAGTTTTACACCAAATCTAACTTAGAGCGAAGTCAACCTGACATAATTATAAGCCAAGTACTGTATCACATGATATGCAAATATAAGTGATTTGTCTAAGTAACTATAAATTACTTTTATACAGGTAAACTAGATTTTTATTCCTTTTATTTACTGATATAAATCAGGATTCTTAAAATTGGGATCCATGAGCAGAGTTCAAGGGGTCTATTGATTCCCTTACCTAGTGGGTGGAGGGAAGGGAGAGCGACAAGATAGGGTATGAGATTAGGAGATACAAACTACTATGTATAAAATAAATAAGAAACAGAGATATGTTTTATAACACAGGGAAATATAGCTATTATTTTGTAATAACTTTAAATGGAATATAATCTATAGAACTATTGAATCCCTGTTTCAGGTTTTGCACTTGAAACTAATGATCTAAACTGACTGTGCTGTGCTTCGTCAGTCACACAGTTGTGCCTGACTCCTTGCGATGCCATGGACTGTAGCCCACCATGCTCCTCTGTCCTTGGGGATTCTATAGGCAAGAGTATTGGAGAAGGTTGCCAGGCCCTCCTCCAGGGAATCTTCCCAACCCAGGGATTGAATCCAGTTCTCCTGCATTGCAGGTGGATTCTTTACCATCTGAGCCACCAGGGAAGCCCAAATCAACTATACTTCAACTAAAAAAAAAAACTCCCCAGGGACTTCCCTGGTGGTCCAGTGGTTAAGAATCCACCTTCCAATTCAGGGGACACGGGTTTGGTCCTTGGCGTGGGAACTAAGATCCCACATGTCACAGGACAACTAAGACAGCACGCCACAACCACTGAGCCTTCGCACCACAACTAGAGAATCTGTGCACCACAACGCAAGACCCTGCATGATGCAACAAAGCTTGCAACAACCCTGCTGCAACTAAGCCCTGATGCAGACAAATTAAACAAACAAACAAACAAAAAACCCTCCTTGAATTTTGTGTGGGCCATTTTTCTGGAAAGAGTTCATGGTTTTTGTCAGATTCTGGAAGGAGTTTGTATCCTGATATCAAGAAGAGTCTGATCTCCACTATGTTTATGTACTGACATCTTGTTAAAAATGTAAAGTTTGGATTACACAACATAAAGGGCAAAATCCCCTGTACCATCACCAGCAATGCTTCCTCCCCTACTCCTAGTCAGGAACATTCAGAGTTGATATTTAGTGTGTTTTCCCTAAACTAGTGCCATTATTTGGATAATTTTTTTTTGGTTAAAAAACAATTGCACAATCATGAAGGATAAACATAGCCTCCTTTTCACATGTTTATAAGCCAATACATTAATAGTATTTCTCAATCACGAGCAGGAAATGTAGAACCTGGATTTATGTTCAAGATGTTTTGACTCAAACCTGTGGGCTCTCCTATGAAGTGGGCTGTCTCCTTACAACTACTCCCATTTCCAAGCCCATTTTTTTATTTCTTAAACTGGTCACATCTGAGCTACATCATAACAGTCCAATCACTCTCTTTCCCCTCTCCGGCTGATGCTTTATTACAAAATTAGGTCTTATTCTTACAGAAGAGGAAGAATGTCATATGGTTCTCCCAAACTTCTTCTGTGTCGCACACTGTCTGTGCTCTGTGCCTAATAACTGTCCCTTGAACTGACCTTGGTCCAGAGAAGAGATCCTTCTGAAATGGAACAATCTTATGAGGAATAATAGACCTGACTCTTGCTTTGCTCCCTCTCTCTCTGACTTTGAAGATGGAAGTGAGGGCCTTAAACATACCATAAAGCAGAGATTGTCAGATTGGATAAAAAGCAAGATCTGACCGTATGCTGTCCATGAGATGCTGACTTTAAATATAAAGACATTCATAATTTAAAAGTAAAAAATATAAGGAAATCTTGCTATTTGTGACAACAGGGTTATGAGGATATTATGCTGAGTGAGGTTATTATGCTGAGTGAAAAAAGGTCAGAGAAAGATAAATATTTTCATTTCATTTATATGTGGAGTCTAAAAACTAAACAAAAACAACAAAATAAAAACAGAATTATAGATACAAAGAACAAATAGGTTGCAGGGAGAGGGGAGGAAAGAAATAGGTGAAGCAGATTAAGAAATAGAAACTTCTAATGGCAAGGTAAACTAGCCATGAGTATGAAATGTACAATGTGGGGAATATAGTCAATAATTATGTAATATTGTATGATGAGAGGTCATAACTAAACTTATCATGTTGATCATTTTGAAATGTATAGAAATAACAAACCACTGTTGAATAACAGAAACTAATATAGTGCTGTAGTTCAGTTATATTTCAAAAACAAACTCATAGAAAAAGAGATCAAATTTGTGTTTATCAGAAGTTGGGGGTAGGGAGAGGGGATATTGGATTCAGACACTCAAAAGGTGCAAACTTCCAGTTAAAAGAAAAATATGTGTATGTAAAGTACAACATGATAAATAGAATTAACATTGCTGTACATTACATATGAAAGTTATTAAGAAGGTAAATCCTAAGTAATCTCATCACAAGGGAAAATATTTTTTCTATTTCTTTAGTTTTGTATATGTACTTTTGCATTCTGTAATTTTGTATGAGATTATGGATGTTCACTAAACTTACTGATAATCATTTCATGATGTTTATAAATCAAATCATTATGCTGTACATCCAATACTTACACAGTGCTGTATGTCAGTTAGATCTCAATAAAACTGGATGAAAACAAAAGAAGAAATGAAAAAGAAAAAAATTAGCTTTTTAAAGTTAAAGGATGGAAAAAGATGTACCAAGCAAACATTAATCCAAAGAATACTAGAAAGGCTATCTTATTAACAGACAAAATAGATTTCAAAACAAGGGATGTTACCAGGAATAAGGAAGTATATTTTGTAATGATAAATGCACCAATTCATCAAGAGAACATAAGAAAACTAAATATTTATGCACTTAACAATTTTAAAATACATGAAGCAAAAAACTGACAGACATGAAAGGGGAAATAGGCAAATCCAGTTATAGTTGGAGATATTAACACTTTTTTAAAAAATTGAAGTATGATTGACTTACAATATTGTATTAATTTCAGGTGTACAACATAGTAATTCAATATGTTTATAGATTATGCACCAAAGTTATTGCAGTATTATGACTATATTACCTATGCTGTACATTTATCCCTGTGACTTATTTATTTTATAACTGGTAGTTTGTACCTCTTAATTCCCTTCACCCATTTTGCACATCCCTGAACCCTCCTCCCTTCTGGCAACCCCAAGTTTGTCCTCTGTATCTGTAAGTCTATTTCTGTTTTATTCTACTTTTTTGTTTGTTTTGTTTTTTAGATTCCAGATATAAATGAGAACATTCAGTATTTGTCTTTCTCTATCTTATTTCACTTAGCATAATACCCTTTTGGTACATGCCTGCTGTTGCATATGGCAAGATTTCATTCTTCTTATGGCTGGGTAATAATCCATTGTGTATATATGCCACATCTATTTATTCATCTATTGATGAACATTAGGCTGCTCCCATATCTTGGCTATTATAAATAATGCAACAGTGAACACTGTGGGTATACATCTTTGAATTAGTGTTTTTATTTTCTTCAGATAAAAACAGAGGGGTGGAATTTCTGGATTGTATGGTAGTTGTAGGTTTAATTTTTTGAGGACTCTCTATATTGTTTTCCACACTGACTACAACAATTTATATTCCTACCAAGAGTTTATGAG